TGTGGGTGTGGGTGTGTGGGTGTGGGTGTGGGTGTGGGTGTGGGTGTGGGTGTGGGTGTGGGTGTGGGTGTGGGTGTGGGTGTGTGTGTGTGGGGGAGTGTGTGTGGGGGAGTGTGCGCGTGTGCGCGTGTGCGCGTGTGCGCGTGTGCGCGTGTGCGCGTATGTGCGTGTGTGCGTGTGTGCGTGTGTGCACGTGTGCGCGTGCGCGTGCGCATTGCGTGCGCGCGCGTGTGTGCGCGTGTGATCGCAGCTCCCCCATGTTGTCACTCCGGCTCCTAGGGCGTCCCTGGGTGCCTCACTTAGCCAGGCGTTGGTTTGCTGCACTGGGCGTGCGACGTTTTCTCATCGGCCGACTGGCTCTCGTCGCCCCGCCCGCGTGCGCCCGAAAAGGTGTCTGCGTGATCCGGGCTTCTTCAGACTACAGTCCATCCCAAGCAGCAAGAGACATGCACAAAGAAAGATCAGGCCACGTCTTCGAGAAATATCAATGCGCTCGTCGCGGAAAGTCCTGAGGGGGTAGCTGCAGGGAGGATGATCCAACCACCCCTCTGCGCGCAGATGGCTTGAGGATTTCGTCATTCCAACCTCCTTCCCCTCCGGGGAGCGGTCAACCATTCTCTCTACCCTCTCCCCTGGGTCTGGACCCGCAAGGCGTCAGAGCGTCCAAGACGGGCCACGACAGCTCTAAAATAGCCTCGGATAGCCCAGGATGACCTCCGCGATGGCGCGAGATGACCCAAGATGGCTCAATCTTACCACCAAGATGCCTCCAAGAGACCCAAAGCCTGCTCCAAGACGGCTCCAAGTGGCCACGGAGCCTTCCACTATCCCCGAGAGGCCAAACTCACTCAAGCCTCTCTCTCATATGTTCCAAGTACGTGCGCGTTCTCGCAATTTCGCTTTGGATGGGCTTCTGAGGACTCAAGATGGTTCCAAGATCGCTCAGAAAAGCCCCAAGAGGGGCCACGAAGTGCTCCAAGACGGCCCCGAAGCCCCCAAGAGCGCTTCAAAACGGCCCCAAGAAGGCTCGGAGTGTGCTCCAGGGGAGGACCGCTAGATCATGCCGCCCCTTGTTTGATCGGTGTCCTCCAAGATGGCCCAAAGATTGCCCGAAAGGTCAAAAACAGGCATTACACGCAGAGGGGGGTGCATATGATATTGTATTTTACGCGAGCCCCTAGGGCCTCCTCCCTCCTTCATCTCCTCCGTCTCCACTTTCTATTCCGCCTCCTCCTCCAACTACTCTCTCGACGGCAGGCAGGCTCGGTAGTTCAAAACCTGAACATGTTAAGGCGGATTCCGAACTTCGGCGTGATGTCTGCATCACCTCCTTGTTTCACTGCAAGTGTTTCCTCCTCCCTGATCAGGGCAACTCGCCTGGTGGTCGTTTCTGGATAGTCCAAGTGGGGATACGCAAAGCGCCAAGACAGTTCTCCTTGATCCCAGCGGCTGCAACGAGGGTGGTGTCCTATTGACGGCGCTGGCTGCATCTGCTACACTCGGGCCCCCGAGATAGGCTCAGAGTAAATGGGGTCGGCGGGTCAGGCCGCATCGACGATGCATCACCGAGGCATCGGCGACGCCGGCGTGGAGCAGATCGGGCTCCACATCGAGCCGCACTGCCAATACATCGGCGATGCGGCACGACCCTCCGACCCCATCTGCCCTGACCCCTATCGGGGAGGCCTACATCCACCTGCGGCCGCTCCTAGATCGTGGAGGGGCCCAGTGGGGTACGCGAAGCGCCAAGGATGCCCTCGGGAGGAGCAGCGGCCGCAACGAGTGTAGCCTCCGACCTACGGCGCGGGCGCTGGGCAGGGGCCAGCTGCCCCTGCACTCCCACAGGCCTCTCACGACATGCTCGCAGAAGACAAGAGCGGTCTCATCACACAAGCGCGGGTCTTGGAACACGAAGCCGGCGCCTTCAAACGAGACTGCCTCGGCCAAAGAAGCGTTCCGAGAACACGTCGCACAACCCTCCCGAACATGCTGGAGCAGCATGCTTCGGTGGGCCTACAGGGCAGGTCGGGGCACTTCGCAGCTCGGTGGCCGTATCTGCTCCCTGCGCCTCCGGCCGATCGGCAGCCACCGGTCCTCCGTCGCGGGCTCCCACTGGGCATCGCGGAACTGCAGCCAGTCGCGGCCGTCGTCCTCCTGGCGCGGGCCCACGACGCAGCGCAGGAGCTGCTCCGGCCGGTCCTCCTCGGAGACCTCGAGCCCCACCCACGTCAGCGACTTCCACGGCACCACGAGGCTCTCGGTGGCCTGGTCGAAGCCAGGGGGCACCTCGATGCTGCCACCCGCGCACGGCTTCCCGTCGACGCGCGGCGTGTAGAACGGGTCGCCGGCCAGAATGCGGAACGTCCGAGTGGTGTTGTTCCTGCGTATACGACAACCCTGCGTCAAGCAACGTGGCCATCTTGGCTTCGTTTTTGTGGGCGCGTCTGCGGCTTCTCGTCGCGACGGCTGGGCGCGGCTCGGAAAGCTGGCCAGGATGGACCCCGGGAGGGGTCAGGGGGCAGCTTTTGAGCGAACATGCGGGGCCTCGGAGGAGTGCTGCTGTCGCTTAGACGAAGAAGGAGGAGAAGAAGCATGACAATATGCAAGAAGAAGAAGAAACAAAAGCAGAAGAAGAAGAAGAAGAAGAAGCGGCAGAAGAAGAAGGAGGACGAGGCGAAGAGAAAGGAAGGCTGCATGGAGACATGCGCGGTCGGAGGTCCGCGCGGATCTCGGGGGGCGGAGCTGCATCACCCCCTGCCCCCCCCCCCCTCCCCTGACTCGCGACGCGCGGCAGAGGCGGCGCGGGCGCCTCCGCCCCCGCCGCCGACGGCGACGACGAAAGCCGCCGCCGCCGCCGCCGCCGCCGCCGCCGCCGCCGCCGCAGCCGCCGCCGCCGCCGCCGCCGCCGCCGACGACGACGACGACGACGACGACGACGACGACGACGACGACGACGACGACGACGACGACGATAGGCACGGTGGGGGCGGCGGGGGGTGGGGACCAGCGCCGACCCGCGAGACTCCGCGCGGGCCTCCGAACGCGTGCGCTGAGTGCCGCTCGGCTGCGCTTCGGCTCCTGACGCGGACCACCTGCGCCACGACCATCGCCCCGAAGGGCGGCGCCCCGCAGGGGGCAGCGCGGGTGGCGGCCCCCGCTTCGGCCGGAGACGGCTGCGGCATCCGGGGGGGGGCTCCGCCGCGCCCCCCGCGGAGGGGGGGGGGGCTGCTTCGAGGGGGGGGGGGCTGCTTCGCTCGAAGGGGGGGGGGGGGGGTTGCTTCGGGGGGGCTGCTTCGAGGGGGGGGGGGCTGCTTCGAGGGGGCTGCTTCGAGGGGGCTGCTTCGAGGGGAGGGGGGGGGGGCTGCTTCGAGACCGAGGCACGCCAGCGGTCCACGGGCAGGGAGCGCGCGAGGGAGGCACAGTGGTGCCGCGGGGGAGGGCCTGGGGCCGTGGCGGGGCGGCGCGGTGGGAGGCGCAGCCTCCCGAGCGTGCATCAAACTTGATCCGGGGTGGGGCTCGGGCCCTCGATGGAACTGGCGAGGGCGAGCTACAGAAGCCCCAGGGACGAAGCCAGGACGGCGGAGACCAAGCTGCTGGACGCGAGAGACCCGAAGGACGGGGACTTCAATCATCCGTCGGCTGCGCAGTTCATGCGTCCATACCGGGTCCAAATGCGTTCGCAGCACACGCCTCTCGTCTGCAGGAGGGTCAGCAGAAACACAAGCACGAACACCAGCAAGAGGAGCCCTGCAAGGGGAAACAAAACATGGCAAGGATTCCGAGAAACCGACTGGGCGTTATGAATGTGCTCGCGGCGTCATGATGTTGCCTGGCGTCTGGCATCGGGATGGAATGCCTCGCCACGCCCCGATGCTCGGTGCCTTGCCGCACCCTGCTCTGGACCCACCATGCTTTGTCCTGTCTCGGTGCGTCTTGCTGCGACAAAGCATCGCTCGCCATGCCCTGCGCTGCCATGCTTTGCATAACTTGACCTGCAATAACTCACTATCCCACTTTCCGCACCGTAGCTGTGATCGGCTTGATTTGAAATGTCATGCCTGCCTTGATATGCTATGCCATGAACTACTGGCATGCCCAGCTCCGCCATACCATGGTCCTCACTGAATTGGCCTGATCTGCGCCTAGCCCTCCCATACCAATGTCCACATTGCATGTGCCTGCTCTGCGCTGCCTCTCGTTGCATTGCCTTGCCGCCAGAACGCACAGCCCTTCCGGAACTGTTTTTGTCGCGCCCCTCCCTCACCCCATGAAACGCTCTGCATACCTTTGCCTTGCCTGGCCCTCTCGCCCTGTTCTGGCCATCGCTCGGACGTCCATTCCCTGTCTTTTTGCGGTTTCGAGCATGGTTTTTCGCCAATGATCAAGGATGATCCTCGATGGTCCTCGCCGAAGGAACAATGCACACGTCCGAGCGATACCAAGTGTTTAGCGCCGCATGTTCTCTACCCAGAGTGGTGAGGCTTCGGGCTGCGCACAGACCGCCCCCGAGGTAGCCCCTGCTGGCCTCCACCGGCCCCCTGAAGTGTCCCAGCAGGCCAGCGAAGACCACTCGGGGGGCCAGCAGAGGCCGGCCGGGACTACCCCGGGCGGCGGCCTCAACACCCCGACCCTGGGGCGTGGAGCGCCCCAGGGGCGCCGCCAGAGGCGGCGCCGAGGTGGTGAGACCGCCCCGGACCTTGGCGCCGCCTCCGGCAGCGCCCCATGGGGAGCTCCGCGCCCCAGGCGTGGGGTGTTGAGACCGCTCCCCGGGCTGCTCGGGGGGCCGGTTGAGGCCAGCGGAGACCACTCGGGGGGCCAGCAGAGGCCCGCCGGGACTGCCCTGGGCGGCGGTCCGCGCGCTGCCCGAAGCCTCACCAGCCCCGAGGCCACAGGAAGGTGCATACCAATGCACGTGCATGGTGTCGTCAGCACCCCCGTTGAAACCAGCCTCGAACGTATCCCTATCCCTAAGATTAACAAGCCAAAAGTCGACGACCATCTTAGGGATGCGCCCTCAGAAACGGAGGGACTCCCTAAGATCGGCATCGAGATGAGGCGATGCCAATCATAGGGATAGGCATATGTTCCAGAATGGTGACCTTGCTCGAGACGGCGGCGCGGGCCTGGTTCTCGGTGTGGTGCGACTCGAGGCGCATCTCGAGGTCCCCGAGGTCGATCCTGAGGCGCGCCTGGGGAGGTGGGGGTGGCAGGCTGGCAAGTCCAGCGGCGAGGTCCAGCAACGCGCAGGCTCCAGTGGCTGTCCCAGCCCAGGCCCACCGGCCTCGCAGACCCTCCAGCTTGGAAGCGGCAGGGAGGTCTGCACTGGAGCAGTATTGGGGACGGAGGGGGCTGCTGTTGAGCACTGGGCGAAGTGTTGTAGACGAAGGCCTGTGGAGTATTCGATGTACTGCTGTAGACGGTGGGAGTTGAGTAGAGGGAACCTTTTCAAGTTACACTTGGGGAGGAGGCCGTTGAGGAATTGGTGTGGTGTGTTGGCTGTGGAGTAGTGGGCGCTGCCTTGGAGATGCAGGCTGTGGAGTAGTGGATGCTGTGTTGGAGATGCAGGCTTGGAAGTAGAGGGCGCTGTGTTGGGGACGAAGATTGAGCCGAAATAACTCGCAAACGTATACCTCAGAAGAGAGAGTAAGGACATCGTACGAATCCTAGGTCTATCCAGGGAGAAAACGCAGCACAGGGTTTGGAGACGGAGGCTGTACAGAAGTGGGTGTTGAGTTGGAGGTGGGCACAGTGGAGTAGCGGAGGCTGTGCTGGAGAGGAGGGCGGGGCGGGCAGATGGCGGCGGCGGTTGGCGGATTGGCGCGGTGCTTTCATACAGCTACGAAAGCTGCGTTACAATGGAGGCTGTAGTGCACTGTAGGCTGTGTTGGAGATGGGGGCTTCGAAATAATGATTGTTGTGTTGGAGATGGAGGCCGTGAGCCGTGAGGTAGAGGGTGCTGCGGTGGAGATGGAGGGTGTGGAGTAGTGGGTGTTGCGGTGTAGATGGAGGCTGTGGGGTAGTGGGTGATGTGTTCGAGATGGAGGCTGTGGAGTAGTGGGGTTTGGAGGTAGGAGCAGGGGGTGCTGCGGTGGAGGTGGAGGCTGCGGTGTAGGGGTGCTGCGTTGGAGGTGGAGGCTGTGGAGTAGTCGGTGCTGCGCTTGCAGGTGGAGGCTGTGGAGTAGGGGGCGCTGCGGTGGAGGTGGAGGCTGTTGGGTAGTGGGTGACGGGTGATGTGTTGTGCATGGAGGCTGTGGAGTGGCGGGTGCGGTGCTGGAGAGGCGGGCGGGGCGAGCGAGCGGCGATGGCGGTCGGCCGACGGGGGCGGCTGTCGGCGGGCGGGCGCCGGGCTGTTCGGTCCAACGCACAAGAAGGCTGTCTTGCAGCGGAGGCTGTAGACCAGTGGGTGGTGAGTTGGAGGCGGTGATTGTGGAGTAGTGTGTGGGAGATGGGGGCGGTGGAGTAGTGGGTGCGGTGCTGGAGATGGGGGCTCTGGAATAGTGGGTCCCGCGTTGGAGACGGGGGTTGTGGACTAAGTGCTGCCGAGTTGGAGACGGGAATTGGCCAGAAGCATGTCCCAGACAGGTGTATCCAAACAGTGCATGGCAGTCGTGGGAAATAGATGGGACCCCCCAACATGAAACGCACACGGGGCCATGGTGCGCGCTGAGGGCCTGTATGAAAATACGCATCCAACTCTGTATCTGCGATGTCTCGATCTCACGAACTAGATCGGTCTAAATCACATATCTATCCATCTAGCCATCTATCTACAGACGGGACAACCGCGGGACAACCACGGGCAACCACGCGACAACCACGGGACAACGATGGGACACCCACGGGACACCCACAGGACAACCACAGGACAACCAGGGGACATCGACATCGTCCAGCCTCAATCAAAATATCGGTATCACCTCAATCCGCTGGTCGACCTCACTGTCGATCGGTCTCACAGCTCATACACCAATTGCAAGATGCATGTGTATATATATGTGTAGATAGACGTAAGCATGTACATGTACACACATCTATGTGTACACACAAGCCGCTTCTCTATCGATCTTACGATCAATGGATTGGTTCCGCTATGAGTTCATCTTCCGGCTTTACTGCCTACCTATCTATCGGTCTCATTTCCCATGGCAACCATGGGACAATCACGAGACATCCACAGGACAACCACTGGGCAACCACAAACCAGTCATCAAACAGCCAGATGACAACCAACGGACAACCACAACCACGGGACAACCACGGGACAACCACGGGACAACCACGGGTTAACCACGGGACCAGCAAGAGACAACTACGGGACACCGATCGCACACAATGACGAGCCAACCACGGGACAACCCTAAGCCAACGACGGTGCAACCACGGGACAGCCACGGTTGCCCCGTGGATTGTCCCGGGGCTGTCCCGTGGCTGTCCCGTGTCTGTCCCGTGGACCTCCAGGGATCAGGGTCCAGGGCGGGCGCAAAACTGACCTCCTCCTCCTCATCCTCCTCATTCCCCTCATTACCATAATCATCATCAGCAGCAGCAGCATCATCATCCTCATCATCATCATCATCATCATCATCATCATCATCATCATCATCATCATCAGCATCATCATCATCATCATCATCATCATCATCATCATCATCATCATCATCATCATCATCATCATCATCATCATCGTCGACCACGCTGGCGTCGCCATCGTCGTCCTGATCGCCAACAACATCGCCATCGTCACCATCATTACCGTCGTCGTCGGCGCCGTGGTCGTCACAGGCAGAACCCTCGCCATCACCATCATCATCACCATCATCATCATGATCACCATCCACACCGTCGTCGTTGCAGAAGAATCATCCATAATCCTCTCCTCGGGCGTCGCGTCGGCCCCCTGTTCCCAGTGCGCCCGAATTGGGCGACCCTGCATTTCTGCGGGTAGCTGCCAGACTTTTTTCGTCAGCGGCGAGGCGGCGAAGTCCGCTCCAGCGAGAAGCTAGAAAGGGACACAAACTAACGAATTGGCCGCCGGGCAAAGAGAAAGGGGGGGACGGCCGAGAGGCAGAAGGGACGCTCAGGCGTCGAAGAGGTCGACGGTGAGCAGCCAGGGGGGGGAGGCACGGAACTGCCAGGCACACTCGCGCAGGAGAGACACCCAAGGAGCAGAGCT